TATTTATTATATATACATATAATATACATAATATATTACATATTATATTATATAAATTATATGTTATAAATATATATTATATATATTATATATAGAGAGAGAGAGCAAGAGAGAGAGAGAGAGTGGGTTTTTTCCAGGGGAAAGTGTGAATGCAGTCCCCCACTGCCAGAAATTATGCAGTCAAGTTTCTCACACGTGGGGAAATTGCAGGGGTTAGCATGCCCGGAGTGCAAAGGACGAGCCTCACCCTGGGAAAACCACCTTCTAGATCATGGTATCTCCCCTGCCAGGTAAGTATAGTCAAAGGATATTGGGTCATTAGTCCCATAGTCATTCTAGTTACATGGACATCGCTTATTCAGAGTCACAAAAAAAATCTAGCCTTTTGGAGGACCTCCAATACTTTGCCACGTATGACACAGCACCTTTTTTTTTTCTCAGGTGAAAGTGAAACAAAAAGCCTTATTAATACAATAGCACTACATGATTCTGTTTAAGATCAAAGCAAAAAACCAATATAGTTACTGGCATGGACACAGTTGCTAAAGTTTAAAAAAACCCAAACCACAACACACTAAGCAAAAGAATATTCCCAGGAGTCAGCTATTGTGAGAAGCTATTGAGAGAGGCAAGAGAAGAGAAGAGAAGCTATTGTGCAAGAGGCAAGGATTTCTTAAGGCAATCTCTTTTATTGGAACAATTATGTAGTTGGGATAAAGTCAGACAAGCTTTCGAATGTAAGACATGCTTCCTCAGGACTATTGGGTTGATAGTCCTGTGGTCAGTCCAGTGACATGGACATGTCTCATTCAGATTCATAAAACAAAATCTAGCCTTCTTGAGCGTGGTGAGAGTGCCTCCAGTACTTTGTCACCTGTAGTACAGCACCTGTCTTTCTCCAATGAAAGCAAAAGGAGAAGCTATACTTATAGGGCGGCACGACCTTGTTCTGTTGAAGGTCAAAGCGAAAACCAGTGTAACCATTGGCAGAAGCACCCATTTGCTTGAGTACTTATAAAGTTAAAAAAAAAACAACAGGACCCACCAGGCAAAAAAATAGTCAAAGGATTTGGGTCATTAGCTCTAAAGTCATCATAGCTAAATGGATGCAGGGACAGATCACGGGGGCGGGAACCCTTGCATCCCTCTCTGAGTCCAGCTCCACCCAAACTTGAAAAACCAATGTCCTGGGACTAGCAGCAGCATTTCTAGTCAGGCAGGGCTGAAAGAGTCTGACTTCATGGTTCATCATCTACCTGATCCCTTCTACACTTTTCATTCCTCAGTGTTAAAGACCCTGTCTCCTTTTTTTTAATTGTCTTAATCTTTCACTAATCAAGCTATTCTTTCGTCTGCAATTCTGCTGTCTGTTCACTGCTCCTGGTAACGTGGCTCCTGTTTCACAGCCTGTTTTTTAACTCTACCTAAAAACATGAATTCAAGTGTGGAAATAACTTTCAGCGAAGTACTGGATACATGGTGGGGATGCTCAAGGAGGCTGGATTTTGTTTTGTGGAGAAGTCTGTTGAATTCTAATGGCAACGGGACTAAAGAAGCAACTATTTTTGCCTAGTTTGTTGCATTTTTAGCATATCATATATCATATAGCAAATTAATGCACGTTCCAGTCAAGTTATATTTGTTTGGCTTCATTCTTAAACTGAATAATGTGGCTTTAGGCCCCTAGTGTATTACTAAAGCTTTCCGTTTCTTTTTACCTGGAGAAAAAGATGTGTTG